TATAGGTACTGCATCCCAATCAATGATGAAGCCAGACCAATCACAAGGGCAGAGTTGAATTTCTTTGCTGAGTGTGGGACTGGTAGAGGTATGTAAACTATTGATAACCTCTTGAATCTAACCTTTTCTTTTTGTAAACAGTTCCTGTCATTGTCTTGTTTACAAAAGCAGACATGCTTGATGCCCAAACCATTGAACACCTGGTTGATGCTGGAATGAATGTTGAAGATGCTGCAATTAAAGCTCCAGAAGAATCAGTTGCTAGGTTTCAAGAACAGTTTGGTCAGCAACTCTATAAGAAAAAATATCCCCCCAAGGAACATGTATATTTTCGAGGTGTAACAAATTCATTCATTGGTAGTCAACAAATTAATTTTATTCAACAGACATGCAAAACCTCACAAGTGACTGCAGTGAATTGCTGAGGAAGACAGCGGCTACTCTCTCAGATGATACAATCTTACAGCTTTTTCTGACAGTGCAGAAAAATAATCTGTCTCTGTCAATTAAATATGCAATTACAAGGTAGTTTCTTCATGTTTAATTATATGAAGTTAGATTGCTGATTATCAAAAATGATAGAGTTATATTTCCAGGTTGGAAATTATTCAAAAGAAAGAGAGAGTGGATGGAGATAGTTGAAAATATATTGCAATATTTTCCACATATGGTATGTAAAAATTGCTTAACTATCCAAATGTAGAACAAAATGATATATATAAACAGAATGTAAGCCAATGTCTCACTGATCTCAACTAGATGTTAACAAGGATGTGCTTTGGTTATTAACAGAATGTAAGTTCAGATTTTGCTTGGACTGTTCTGGTGCTGACAAGAGCATGCTCTGGGTTTTGAACAGTTTGTAAGTCAGCATCTGGCTGGCCCTTCCTGCTTGTTGCTGACAAGAGCATGCTCTGGGTTTTGAACAGTATGTAAGTCAGCATCTGGCTGGCCCTTCCTGCTTGTTGCTGACTAGAGCATGCTCTGGGTTTTGAACAGGATGTAAGTCAGCATCTGGCTGGCCCTTCCTGCTTGTTGCTGACAAGAGCATGCTCTGGGTTTTGAACAGTATGTAAGTCAGCATCTGGCTGGCCCTTCCTGCTTGTTGCTGACAAGAGCATGCTCTGGGTTTTGAACAGTATGTAAGTCAGCATCTGGCTGGCCCTTCCTGCTTGTTGCTGACTAGAGCATGCTCTGGGTTTTGAACAGGATGTAAGTCAGCATCTGGCTGGCCCTTCCTGCTTGTTGCTGACAAGAGCATGCTCTGGGTTTTGAACAGGATGTAAGTCAGCATCTGGCTGGCCCTTCCTGCTTGTTGCTGACAAGAGCATGCTCTGGGTTTTGAACAGTATGTAAGTCAGCATCTGGCTGGCCCTTCCTGCTTGTTGCTGACAAGAGCATGCTCTGGTTGTTTTGAACAGGTTGTAAGTCAGCATCTGGCTGGCCCTTCCTGCTTGTTGCTGACAAGAGCATGCTCTGGGTTTTGAACAGGTTGTAAGTCAGGATCTGGCTGGCCCTTCCTGCTTGTTGCTGACAAGAGCATGCTCTGGGTTTTGAACAGGATGTAAGTCAGCATCTGGCTGGCCCTTCCTGCTTGTTGCTGACAAGAGCATGCTCTGGGTTTTGAACAGGATGTAAGTCAGCATCTGGCTGG